ACAGGCAGCGGCAGTTGCTCCAGCCCGGTGTGCGCAGGCTCCGGCTGTGCTGTGGGCGGGGCGCCCCACTGACCAAGGCCCGCTCCAGCCTCCCCCACAATATAATGCGGCTCAAATGAGATGCAGCCGTGGGGTTGGGGGCCAGCCCGCAGGGGTGGCTTTGAGCAAGTGATTCACGTCTCTTTACCTCTGCGTGAAGGGGGGCTACCAAAGTAGTCCCTAGGGTTGATGTGACTATTAGCTGTGTTAGCCTGTGGCGCACTTAGTTCAGTACGGTACATAATGAAAGCAAATAAGCATTAATTAAATCCATTTCGAAAGCCTAGAGAGCACTAGAAGCTGCCAGGCCCGCATCCTGGACTCCAAACCGTCCTGGAGGAGGGAGAAGCGCCCTCCCTGCGTCCCTCCGACACCGTTAGGAACCGTGTGCCGTCTGGGGCAGCCCGCGGCGGGCTCTGTGCGGCTGGGGCCTCCTTTTTACAAGTAGCGAGACGGAGATGCAGAGGGACTGAGGGCTGTGCCTTGGGTCGTACAGTTGTTAAATATATAGAACTGAGTTCAAAGGCAGCCTGGTCTGACTCCACAGCCTGAGCACGTCCCACTGAGTGGACCATCAGGCCATCGCCCTAGGTCACCTTTGCCAGAGCCCACTGTGTATCAAAGGGGCTAGACCTGCAAGCCCTGGGGGGCAGGCATCCAGTCATTCAAATCACCCCAGCTGTACGGCCCTGGGCAAGGGCTCTTCTGCTGAGGATTTCTGTCTTCCCATCTGTAAAATGGGTTGCCATAAATCAATAGGCAATGTCTGATCATACTAGGGACTTACTGATGAGCAGCCTGGTTATTGCTGTGCCCACTGACAACATTAGGAAAGCTCCATGGAGGCGGTCCACCCTAGAAGGTGCGGTAGCATTCACTAGTGAAAACGGAAGGAAGGACCGCAGTCCTGGGCAGATTGCAATCAGAGTAGGATGTCTGAGGGTTTCTTCGGGGCTGAGAGCACCTGCAGCTGATTAAACATCCTCTGCCCTGTGACCCCAGCCCTTTTCCGTGCTATTTGCTGTACCTTCCATAACTAGCAAGACAGCTCCTCTGCCCCACCTGCTGGGGAGGAAGGGCAGTCATTTTTTTTTGCCATTTGGAGAGAAAACAGGCAAAGCATGTGGCTGAACAGGCACAGGGCGAGCATTCTGCTGTTTCTGTTGTTAATATAGGCCTCCCTGGCCAGGGTGAGGAGCGGGAGGATCTGGATCCCCTCCCCGCTGAGGCTGGCACTGCCCTAGCCAAGGCTCCCAGGCCTGCAGGTTGCAGCCTGCCCAACTCCCCACTCCCCAGCTGCTGTCTCAGCCTCGGGTCCAAGCCAGACCCCCTGGCGAGGGGAGACGGAGACCAAATGGGTTACAGAGGAGCTCCTGCTTCTCCCTCTGCCTGAAGCTCAGTTTCCCCCAAGTGAAGTGGGTGACACAGTGAATGGCATGAAGTGGGGACCATGCTGCATGGAGTTGGCAATTCTATTCTTATGACCTTTCCTAGGAACTACCTTCCTGGGGCTCACGGGTGGATAGGAACCCAGGACCAAAGTGTGGGGGAGCCAGAAGTGCACCTGTCATCTGGTCAAACAGAGCTCCCAGAACCCCTTGAGGGGGTCATAAAGGTCATGAAAGCCCATCTAGTGGTCCCATCATGTTAAGAAACAAGTGGGCCCAGGGCTGGGGCTCAGCCAGCAGAAACAGGGAGGGACTGCTCCTAGAGCTCTGCGTCCTTCCTGCTGATGGAAGCTCCGATGGGCAGACATGTTCACTGGGATTAATAAAAGTGGGATAAGTGCCGCTGTTTAAAGGAGGAAGTCTTTCAAGAGATGGAGTCTAGAGGAGGACAAATAGCCAAACGTGCCTTGAAGGCTACTGGGCTGGGACCACACCCCCATGCGATGCCTTCGGGTGCAGAAGCCAGGGCGCCAGTGCTCAGGGAGCCCATGCTCCTGCTGCCCCCGGCACCCTTGTCTAGTCCTCCCGCACTCTTACTGTCCTGCACCCAGGCTGGAAGTCCACGCCTCATCTGCCCAGAGAGTAAGGGACCCTCCTTCAGTCCTGGGGTGTTTGGGAAGGGGCAGGAGGGACAGGAGGAATGGACAAATGCATTATCTGCTTGGCCAGCCACCAACTCGAACCATCAGGATGCCCCACAAGGTAAAGAAGCCTGTGGGGGGAGGGGCAGGGCCTTGACTATTGAACCCATTTTGCACATAAGGATGCTGAGGCAGCGTGGGCCATGTCCTCTCTGCTGTCTTCTCCACCATGCCCCCAGACACTTCCAGGACCCAATACAGGTCAGTCGTCACCCCTCCCACTCCCCCCACCCCGCTTCAGCACAGCACTGCAGAAAGTGCCTGGCAGAGGCTCTGAGTAGAGGGGGATTCCAGGAGCCAGTTTCTACTGGCAGGGCAGGGGGGTGGGGCACCTACAGACCAATGGGAAGGCCCCACGACTCCCTCCTTCCCCACCCTCTTCAAATAACTCCCTGCTGGGAGGTGATTGGCTGGTGTGAAGGTTCTAACTGGGTCTCAGCATGAGAGGTGGAGAGACTGGGAGAGGTCCTAGACCAGCTCCCTGCCCCCCAACTCTGAGATGGAGGAGGCACAGAGGAGGTACCTGAAAATGGGTAGGCCTAGTTCAACTCTGACCTCACTTGCTGTGTGATCCAAGGCAAGCTGCCTACCTTCTCTGAGCCTGTTTCTATATCTTTTAGAGAGATTACTACCCTACCTGCGTCACAAGACTGAATGGGAGCCTGCTCTGTAGATTGGAGAGAGCTGTCCAAAGGCAAGGTGGGCTCAGACTGTCCCTAGTTCTATGTCACTGAGGACTCATGCGCCGCTGGCTAGCCTTGTCTTACCCAGTCTCATAAACCCCTGCCCAGCCCCTCCACTCCTCCAGCAGGCATCTCTGAACCCTAGATGCTGGGCCTTCACCTCCCAGGTGCCAAGAAAAGCCAGAAAGCAGGGGAGGAGGGGGGGAAGGTGCCTCCAACCAGAGATGGAACTTAACTTGAGGGAGGTGAGAAGGGTAACTGGGGCCTGCCTTGACCCTCATGTGCTCCAAGCCCCTCAGCTGGCAGGGGGCAACTGAAAGCTAGAGAAGATGATCTCATCAAGGCCCGCTAGCCAAGCTAGAGCAGCTGGAGCTGAAAGTCAGGCAGGAGAGAGGGCACCGGCGGGTGGAGGGAGGTGCAGGCAGGCAGACGCACACACAAAGGACCTTACTTTGGGGGCCATCCTTTCCACTTCACCAGATACTCGACTTTACCCTGGGAAGAAAGAGAAGCAGACACAGTGAGATGCACAGCCGCCCCGATGACCATCCACAGGACAGTACGGCCTAACCCCCTCTACAGATACATGTCCCCCAACACATACAAGAGACCCCCCACCAGACCCCCCACCAACCCAC